GAGCAACCGGGGTCTCAGCCCGCTGCCAGCTTGGGGTTCCTTCACCCAGGCCAGCAGCGGGCACTGAGTGGGACCGACGGCAGGACCCCGCTGGCAGGAGCCAGCAGCGGAAACCCCAGAGCGGCAGTGGGCTGAGCCACTCAGCCCGCCACCGCATGCCATCAAAAATCTGCTTGCTTGCCAACTTTGGCACGCATGCCATAGGTTGCCGACCCCTGCACTATATTATTGAAAATGTATTCTTGTCGTAGATGTTTAACGTGAAAATTAAAGGACAGATGAAGTGATATATTAATTCTTAAGTCACATAACAAATTCTGACAGTAACCCTGTATAAGCAACAAACCCAAGTCCATGTGAATATTGAGTATCTGACATAGCAAAGACATGCCCCAATGATAAAAGCCTAACCAAGGAATAAAAAAGTCTCAGACCCTATATTTGCAAGTGCATCAAAAACCATCTCTTTACCTGCTCTCCTGCAAGGTGATAAGTCACCCCTGTGCTAGGCTCCAGCCAATCCACAAGCCAAGAATTGGTCTTGCAATTCCCAGATCAGGTATATAAGCCTCACAGGAGGAGCAGCAGCTCAGTCTGCTCAGTGTCTCTCTGGGACTTGGAACTCACTTCTGCCTGATGGTGGCAATGGACTCCTTAAGCCTTAGGCGGCTCCAGTCTTGCTCTTCCTCCAGCCCTGCTCCTAGTCCTGCTCCAGCTCGTCTCTTGCTGCTGCCCTGCTCCTAGTCCTGCTCCAGCCTCACTCCAACCCCACCTGGACTCCTGAATCCAGCACTGGCCACTAGGCATGACTGCTGCAGCTCTGACCACTAGGCATGACCATCTCCATCACAGTTCCTGACACTTCCAGTGAGAGCCCTGACTTCCACATGGGACCTAAACACTGTCCTCCTATAGCTTATGGAGCCTCCTTTCAAATCATTATCAGAATACGTATACCACCTCACCATCATGGTCTTTCTTATGGCCATCATGTCAGCATGGAGAGTCAGTAAGCTCTAGGCCATGATGGCCAACCCACCATACATGTTCTTCCACAGGAACACAGTGTGATGAAACCACACCCAATGTTCATCTCTTAAACAGTCTCCGAATTCCACCTAACAAGTATTCTTACCAAAGCTTCGCCCGGAGAAAAGAACCTTCATGCCCTGGATGTTTCTAGGAGTCTGCTCCACTATCTCAACAGGATCAAAACTTTCAGACTCTCATCCTGCCTTTCTGTAGCTTTGTCTGCCACTTCAAAAGGCCATGCTATCTTCTCTTAAAGACTCTTGAAGTGGATCATGGTATATTTCCGTCTGCAGTCAGTTGGTTCAAGTGTCTCTCTTTGTGAACAGCAAGGCTCACTCTAGCACGGCGACATCTTTAACCAGTTTCAGATATGTGCCACGCCCTGAGGTCTGTGAAACAAACATGTGGAGCAACCCATTGACTATTAAGAACTATGCCCTTGACATGGCTGCCAGGATAGGTGCCAAATATGGAAGAGCAGGGCTTCAGTCTCTGACTGATACAGCTGAGAATTCTTACTCCCACCATTGGGGTGGGGGTGGGGTACTGTTTGCCGTATAGTGGAATCTACACTGACACATAATTGAAGAATGAATGGTTACTTACCCTACAATAATTGTGGTTCTTCAAGATGTTTAGTCAGTGTGGATCCCATGGCCTGCCCTCCATCTCCACTTTTCTGAGTCCTCAGCAACACAGGCGTTGAACTGTGAGGGAGTTGAGGGAGGGTCATGGCTTCCCTGCCCTTTATTTTCTCCTATGGAAGCACAGTGGACACTGCTAGCCAAAAAAGAAAGTGACTTAGACTTATGAGGTGTACGTATATCTCTAGTGAGATCCACACTGACTACAGCATCTCAAAGAACCACAGTTACTGTAGAGTAAGTAACATGTTTCTTCCTGGCTCATGTATCATCACCAGCAATCATACCTTTCTACCTTAACGTTTGGCAATATGAGACAAGCCATCAAAATGTGTGACGAATGACCAGTGTGTGATACCTCTGTTTTTTCATATTGCTCCATAAACAACAGATTATGTTTAAGTATAAAACCTCTTTTTAAGGATTCTTTTTAAGACTTCTCCCACTGACACAGCTACTGCCTCTCAGGGAGATAGAGTATCTACGCCAATGTGCAAATGCCCCCCATCAGCAGAGGTAGTGTCTTCACTGAAGTGCTGTAGTGATTCAGCAGCGCCACTGCAGTGTTTTATGTGCAGACAAGCCCTTAGACTCTCAAAAATCCTGGAAATGCAGAGAGCCCAGCTATCCAGGTACTCATCAGGGGGAGCAGGGGGAATCACTGTCACGAACTTGTGTATACAAAGACCCAGCTTTCTGTGTTAAGCTTTTTTCACTCTCACCCATCACCACAATATGATCAGCGCCATCCCAATAAATAGGGCTGAAGCTGCTTTAATCTCCAGTAGGAAAATTAGAGATCCTGACAGGTGGGATGTATTCTGATGTTTAGGGAGATATTAAGATTATGACACTGATAGCTACAATGTCTGTAATTCTGAATAACTTCTTTATATTTCTTAGAGTTTTGATGAAGGCAAGTGTTGGAGTGTAGGCTGAGGACAATGAATGATACAGAACTCAATAAATCCAAGTGAGTGTGTACAGTAAAGAGCAAATGCATGTAGAAAGATTAGATTTCAGCATTCAATCCTAGATAACACAAATCTGTTCACTCTGCACATGTGTATTAAACTAAACTCAATCACAACTTTAATGTGGATTTTCATGTTTGTTCTTATGAAAATCATTTTTACTGTTTGCACTCAAATACAGCTGTAAAGTTTAGTTTGCAGGCTAAAAGCCAGCAGGGTTGACTACAGTTTACTTGGCTGACTTGTACATCTATGTGTCTAGGCACAAAGTCTACCTGAAAAACACTCTGAACTTGTGCATAACTATATGTTCATATTCAAAATTAAAATATCCTTAATTTTTATTTAAAGTGAAAGGACTCAGTTCCTTGTCTGTGGAAAAACTATTCAGGGTAATTATTTTTGAAGTGAGATAGCAGCGTACTTTTCATGAGAGTAATGGGGGGTTTAGACAAATGAGTTGGAATTGGGGTAGAGATGGGAATTGCAAGCAGGGGAAAGAGTGTTTGTGAAAATAGCAGTACATTCACCCTTTCTGACAGTTAAGCTCATGCAGCAGTGGTGGTGTAAGGTGACTGATTGTCATATCTAAATTCAGGTATACCCAACCTCTTGATCCCAATTTAATTCTGGCATAATGGTGCCTTTCAGGCAACATGAAATGTCTACAAGAGCTCAGATACCCAGACTTTCAGCAGGCTATGTTGGACCACTTCTTTCTTTATAGAAAATATGGCATAGTGTAAATAAAGATGTAAAGCAAGTGAGCAGCTTGAATAAACATTTTAACCTAAACTTCTATTATTGTACCATCAAATGACTGAAAAGAATATCTGGTAATCTTCCTTCCCAGATCACTCCTTAGCTGTAATCTTATATGCTAAATTTCAGTCTAATGCAATTTTTTAGCATTTTGTAAAATACTAAAAGTAAGGGTTAACACAACATTGGCTTGGATACCCCCCAAGAAGTACAAGAAATTACTTACTGTAGATTGAGGGGCTAGCAGTAAAAAAAGGAGATATTAGCTATAGATAGAGTAGCTTTTCTTCTTCTTGAGACCTGGATTTGAATCCTGGTTTTGGTTAAACATGGTTCTAATTATAGTTCCCATTTGTGTCACAGAACACAAGTTGGCACAGTTGAGCATGAATGGCAGTATTTCTTCACAAGAGGACCAAGAAAGGTCCTGTATACACGCTTACTGTGAAAGATGATAACCAGCTAGCTTTCTCAATTCAAACTGAGTTGCTGAGATTTTGTTGCGTAATGTGGCAGAGGTGATGAGTTGTAAAGGAAAAAAGAGAGCCAATTTAGAAAGTAGCATGATGTAACATAAATATTCTGACCAGCTTTCCATTTTCCTGTTTTTCTAGAATATTGTGGAAAACTGATGTTAGGGAGAGAGTCCTTTTTGTCTTTAAGCATAAGGGTATTTTGGAATATTTTGCAGTACTCTACTAAATCTATCATTTTGCATTGACTGTTTTTAAAAGATTATCAATTGTACCCAGTGTGTGGAAATACTTTTATTTTGCATAAATTCTTCTAATGAAATACACAGATATGCTAATTTGAATTTCTCATCCAACTGCAAATGCGGTAGTATTCAAATATATATTAAAATCTGAAAATGTTAATGTGGAGCGGAGAAGAGTTTAAATGGTCATAAATAAATTCATAATGTGAAGGAATGTACAGTTGTAGAGCTATACTGATAACATACTTATCTGGTGAGACTTTATTGCACAGGTCGTGAAGATCCTTGAGCATCTAAAATTGTTTTGTCTGTCTTAACCTTCAAAAATATGCATATTCAGTTATATAACTAGTGTTTTACTTTTCATCAGTCATAATGTGCTAGACATAAAAAAACTGCTTTGGAAAATAAGTTGCATAGAATACATCCGCTAAAATTTTTCATCAGCCTTTGTTAGTTGTAATTTATTTCAATATAGTGTCCTTCATACAGAATCTTGCAAAATGTTTTACAGCATTATATTGATGATGTCACACCTCAGGTATGCAGTGTATATAAGTCATGCACTTATCAATCCTATTGCAGATAGGTTTAAATGCCACTTTGTGTTGTGAAATACTTAGAGGCATTTCCTATGATTAATACAATAGAGTATAACTCACAATGATTCTGAATGTTAAATTGTGCAGAATAGAAAGCACGACATTAGTAACATTTACTTGAGAAACATCTGGGGGTTTTTTATTCTTTGCTGGTTTTTGGACAGTTTCATATTAAGAAAAAATGTTTAGTTTATAAATCCAAAATAGCTCCCTTTTTAACTTTAGTGATAAGGGAAATAAATATAACTTTTTTCCCCTTTTTCTTTAGCTCTACTGAGAAGTCATTTCCTTGGAGATCAGCAGGTACAATCTTTTTCTATGTAAACTTCATCTCACGTTTTAAAAAAGCAATTTATTTTCCTAGCATTCTCTTAATTTACTACCTGTTCTAAAGTAAACTGAATACAGGTCTGTCTCATCTTACGCACATTTAACATGCGCGATTTCAAATTTATGCGGTCGGCCAAAACAAAACAAAAAGAGAAAAATAACAATTTTAATACTATACCTGTAGTGCGGGCGATTTCGCCCGCCATTGAACTCAATGGAATTTTGGCTATATGCGGTTTTCGCTTTATGCGCTAACCGCGGAACGGAACGATGAGACAGACCTGTATTAACTTTTATAGCACAAATACTATGTATCTGTTGAAAGCATCTTGTGCAAAGTAGTGTTTTTTTTATATACTTTTGTTTACACTTGTGTGTTACCTTTTATTTTTGTAAAGTATATTCCAATTAGAGTATATTTATAATTTTGTGTCTGTATGGTAGTTTCTTGTGCCTTTGAATATTCTTGAGCGAAAAGTGAAACCATAAGAGAAGCTTTTTTTGTATATTGGGTCTTGTCTGCAATTATTCCATTATGTACTATAGATATTTACTCTTCATAGCTGATAATGTCTGTGACAATTATACCATGATGTCTAAGTTTGAAGATTGTTTGTTTGTTTGTTTGTTTTTCTTTTTGCAGCTCCTCCCTGTTTAGGCAAAGGCAAAGTTGTGAAAACAATCTTTTTTTTTTCTATTCACTTTCTTCAGTGCATATGGTTAGTCCTGTGGTGTGTTGTATTCTACTTCTTATCAATCTTAGACAGTGAATGTGGATGGAAATCTTCATAGATTTTAAAATCAAAAGATTATAGATTATAACAGGGGTGGGCAAACTTTTTGGCCTGATGGCCACATCAGGTTTCTGAAATTGTATGGAGGGCCGGTTAGGGGAGGCCGTACCTCCCCAAACAGCCAGGCATGGCCTGGCCCCCGACCCCTATGCGACCCCCCTACTTCTAGCCTCCTGGCAGCCCTCCCGGGACTCCTGCCCCATCCAACCCCCCCATTTCCTGATGGCCTCCCAGACCCCCCACCCCATCCAACCCCCCCCTCCTTCCTGACTGCCCCCCCGGGATCCCTGCCCCATCCAACCACCTGTTCTCTCTGACCGCTCCCGGACCTCCTACCCCTAAGTGCCCCCCACTGCCCCCATCCAACCCCCCACTTCTCCCCTGGGACCCCTGCCCCATCCAACCACCCCTTCTCCCTGACCGCCCCCGACCCCCTACCCCTAAGTGCCTTAACTGCCCCCCGCTGCCCCATCCAACCCGCCTCTCCTTCTGGACTGCCCCTCTTCCCCTCGGGACCCCTGCCTGACCATCCCCCCAAACTGCCCTGCCCTCTATCCAACCCCCCGCTCCCTGCCCCCTTACCGCGCTGCCTGGAGCACCGGTGGCTGGCGGCGCGGCTGCACCAGGACAGGCAGCCACGCAGCACAGAGCACCTGGTCAGGCCGGGCTGTGCAGCTGCGCTGCCCCAGGAGCTCGCTGCTCCACCGCCCAGAGCATTCTGCCAGCGGCGGAGCGAGCTGAGGCTGTGGGGGAGGGGGAACAGGAGAGGAGGGGCTGGGGGCTAGCCTCCTGGGCTAGGAGCTCAGGGGCCGGACAGGACGGTCCTGTGGGCCAGATGTGGCCCGCGGGCCGTAGTTTGCCCACCTCTGGATTATAATGATTAAATCTGACCTCCTGCATAAAACAGCCAATAACATTTCAATCAATAATTCCTCCATCAAACTCAGTAATTTGTCACTGAAGAGGCAGTCCCTGCCCTGAAGAGTTCACAATCTAAATAGACAAGACAGAGTGGGAAAAGAAATGTGCACAAAAGATTTAATTGCCTGAGGACAGTGCCAAAGCCAGGGACAGAATCCACAGTCCAGTCCAGTGCCCTTTGCACTAGTTCATGCTGCCTCTAATTACAGGTTTATATCTTAAGCACAGTTGTTGGTGAAATAAAATTCCAATTATAGTTTCAGATAGACATTGGTGCCAGTTTAATAACTGCCTCACTGCATTTTTTTTAAGAACCACTTCTGTAGATCAGGGATTCCTTTACTTCCTATAAGACATGAAAGTAGACCCACCCTTTTTCAGTTTCTGCTGTAGAAAGAATCCAGTTTTAGAAATTTGATTATTTATTCAGGCTACGTCATAGTTAGATAAACTGCACTTCAGAGTTCTTTTAGTCTCTCTCAAGTGCACCCTGTTGGGTAACAGGCCTGGCGTCCTGCACATCAGTCTGGGTGGAACCCCAGGTCCAACCACTCAAGCTGAATCTCTAGGCTGCAGTCCCTCTGTTTTTCAGCCATGTTAACACAAAAGGCCCAGCTGAGTTTGGCACCTATACGAGTTTCCCCTCATAAGCCTGTGACAGTATAAATGTGCAGTGACACAAACAGCTCTTCAAAACAGGGCATTATTTATTCCTTTACCTAAAGGTATGTAGAACGCAAAAAGGTAAAACCAATAAAGTATCTGTACGCCTATTCCCGTCACCTAACCCTTAAACTCTCCTTGTAAACTTTGGTATGTTCCATCTAGTGCAGTTACCTCCATCTCTGGGTTGGAATAAGCAGTTTGTCCTGCCTGTCTCTGTTTCTCCTTGCTTGTCTGTAAGATCTCACTAACATGCCCTGGGTGCCCCCCCTTCTTCTTAAGACCAGCATCTTTAAAGTTTTAGGTTTCAGAGTAGCAGCCGTGTTATTCTATATCCGCAAAAAGAACAGGCGTACTTATGGCACCTTAGAGACTAACAAATTTATTTGAGCATAAGTTTTTGTGGACTACAGCCCACTTCTTCGGATGCATAGAATGGAACATATGCATCCGTAGAAGTGGGCTGTAGCCCACGAAAGCATATGCTCAAATAAATTTGTTAGTCTCTAAGGTGCCATAAGTACTCCTGTTCTTTTTTTTAAGTTTTAGTATACCCTTTGATCCTGGGGAAAAATACAACACACTAGACTAGCTGGAGCCAGGCACAGGGTATTCCCCCCGCCCCCCCATTAATGGTTTCCTCATTGTTTCCCAAAGGACTCTTGGTACACCTTATCATAGCCCCTTATCATTGCTATTGTTTCATTTCCTGTTGGTTTCTCCCTTACAGCCTCCTTCATTTGAATACTGCATTCAGGCATGATAATAGCGCACAGGTAATCTGAGGGGCATATGATATTTATAAAAAAAAAAATACTTGGTGTAACTGCTTCATTCTCCTCAGGCTAATTTGTAATTATGGCCACCGTATATCCTTTGAACTCAGCCTACCTTTCCTCCCAACATCTTGCAATATGGTGTGGTTGAATTTACATTTGATGATATGTAATTGGTGAGATAGTAATTAATTTGGCTAAAGGTAATTTATAGTGCCCATCTTGAACCATAAAATTATTTCAGTATATTTACAGTAAAAGTGCCTAGACTTTGATTAAATATGCCTGATTCTTCTTCGAGTGATTGCTTATGTCAATTCCAAATAGGTGTGTGCGCACCGCGTGCACAATTGTCAGAAGGATTTTCCCCTAGCGGTACCCGGCGGGTCGGCTGTGGAGCCCTCTGGAGTGGCGCCTTCATGGCCATCTATATAGGTCCCTACTGACCCTCTGTCTCTTCAGTTCCTTCTTACCACCTGTGGTGGTCGTTGGAGCAGCTCTCTCTTCCGTTAGCAAGCAATTCCCTAGAGCAGGGGTCCCCAACACTGTGCCCACGGGCGCCATGGCACCCACCGGGGCGTCTAAGTGCGCCCGCGCACTGGCCGGCGGATGAGCAACCGCTGAAATGCCACAGAGAAGCAGCGTCATCCAGAGACGTCGCCACCGAAATTGGCATTTCGGCAGCAACGCCTCTGGATGACACTGCTTGTCAGCAGCATTTTGGCGGTGACGCCTATTAACGTTAACGCTTGTCGTTGGCATTTTGGCGGATGCTCGTCCACCGCCATGATCCAGACGAAAAAGGTTGGGGACCACTGCCCTAGAGGTTGGTGCCGCACAAGAAAAAGAGGGCTGACAGGGTGCGCTCCCCTACTAGAGCAGTGGAGCATACAGGCACCAGTGGGGGTGCGTCCTGCGTCAGGACACTCAACCTTGGGTCCGCCTGGACCGGCACCATCGACTCTGGCCTCTCGGGCAGGTCCTTTGAGTCCGGCCCCAGTGGACTCCCTGGTGCGGGAAGTTTTGGAGGAGGACTTGGATGCTCCCTCCACAGCGGATACTTTCGAGGCAGCCAGGGAACTGATTACTATGACGGCACAGTCCCCTGCTCCACTGGCCTGTGCGCCAGCACCAGTTTGGCATAGGGGCAAGCCTACTATGATGCAGCACCGATCACCTTCGCCAAGGTACTGCTCCCTGGTTTAACTTTTTAGTAAACCCAGGAGGCAAGCCTAGCAGTCTTGTTAATCAAGGTGCACCTGGCTGCTATTTCTCTTTCCACCCGGGTGCAGCAGGGCAGTCAGTATTGCTAACCCCACGGTTGGATGCTTCCTTAAAGGGCTAGACAGGCTGTAACCTGGTCCTGCCAAGGCTGACTGGGGGGCCCCCTTTTGAACCTCTAGCAACTTGGTCTCTGCTTTACCTCTCTTAGAAAGTGGCATTTCTCGTGGTTATAACTTCAGCCAGAAGTGTCTGAGCTCAAAGCTTTAATGTCTGAGCCATCTTATACAGTGTTTTATAAGGACAAGGTGCAGTTGCGGCCGCAACCAGCCTTTCTACCTAAAGTAGTCTCACAATTTCATGCAAATCAGGACATCTTCCTACCAGTGTTGTTCCCAAATCCTCATGCTAATGACAGGGAATGCATGCTCCTTTCCCTAGATGTTAGACAGGCACTGGCTTTTTACATTGAGTTGAGGAAGCCATTTAGGAAGTTGCCGCAACTCTTCATCGCCATTGCTGAAAAAATGGAAGGCCTGCCAATCTCATCCCAACAAATCTCTTTTTGAATGACAGCCTGTATTAGGACATGCTATGA